TTGGTTATATTAAAAGTACCATTTTTCATGGACTTCACATTCATCTTTTGAACTTTGTACTTATTCTAATACTGATTGGGCTGAAGACTCTAATGATTGTAAATTCACCACTAGATATTGTCTTTTCTTGGTGATTTCTTAATCTCTAGGCATAGCAAGAAGCAAATAGTTCCATCTCGTTTTAGTATAAAGGTCAAATATTGAGCACTTGGAGACACCACATCAAAGTTACTTAAGTTATGTTGGCTATTAGAAGATATGAGTGTTCCTCAACCACCTGGTACTAATCTCTATTGTGATAATCAAAGTGCTATGCTTCCTCAACCACCTGGTACTGATCTCTATTGTGATAATCAAAGTGCTATGCAGATTGTTCATAATGATGTTTTCCATAAATGCACTAAACACATTGAGATTGACTATTACTTTTTTTGCCATTAGGTTGCACAAGGAACTATTCATTTAAGGAACTATTCATTTGGTTTTAATTGGCCCCATTGATCAACCAACAGATCTCTTCACCAAGACTCATTTTCATGGACACTTTCATACCCTTTTTTCCCAAACTCAAGTTGGTTTCATTACAACCACCTTGAGTTTGAGGGAGGACACTAAGATGTGAATACAATAATTGACAATTAATTATTCATATCATATTCACACTATTCACATTTATTGTAAATATTTTATATCTTAAAATATTCTATTTGTAAACATTTATATATAGGTTATTGTATGTATAGTATTATTTTAAAAAAAAAAATTTCTTCAGATTTTTCTCTTCTCTAAGTTTCTAGCTGTGGGAAATAATAGAATGGAGAAGGAATAGATAATGCCGAGCGGAAATGGAAGATATTGGACAGTGGACACGTTGTTCTCATGAGATGTGAATTGGCACGTCAGGTATATATGGAGGAAATGTTTGGACTGGTGGGGCTTCTCTAAACTGTGACAGGTCCAAAGAAAGCAGCATACACTAGCCGTGGTTCAGGTTCTATCATCGTGTGTACAGCATGGGTGGTGGAGTGTGAGGTATTTGCGATCATATATTGCTTCCATATGGCTGAGGCTGCTTATGATTTGGCAAGGTGGGTGGAGTTTGTGGAAGATCAACAAACCTGGTTTA